GGGGCCGCCGCCTCAGAAGCCCTTATCAGAAGTACCGTGGGTTTATATTCACAGACCCTAAAACCAAGTCTGCATAATGGAATATTTTTTTCACAGCTTTGCAATACCGTCGCAGCTGACCGAGTCAACCGTTGCTTTGTCGACGCGGAGAAGAGGGAAGAAGGTAAGGGGTAAAGCTCAAAATCCTTTTTCAACTTTTGGAAGTAGTTCTGCATCGCTAACTTGGGCGCATCCTTCATCCTCCTCCGAGCTACCTGACAAGTCAGAGAAAAGGGGATTTCGCTTCCTACGCGCAGTGAACCTTGTCCCCACACCTCAGTCCAGCCAATATATAAAAGTGAAAGTCTCAAACTAAAAAAAAGAAAAAAAAAAAGGGGGGGAAAAAAAAAAGTCACACTGCACTTAGTCTTTGGTTTCCAAGTTCAAAGGAGGGATCTGCTTCAAAGCTTGAAGCAGAGCCGAGGAGTCGATGGGGGAATGGGCCGGTACGGGAGAAGGGAGTCTCTGGGGGATCAGCAGGGGCGGGGAGATTTTGTCGGGGTTCATGAACCCCGTCAGCGCCGCGGCAGAGGCTGGCAGGCTGGGGTACAGCACGGGGACGGACGCCGGGTACCAGCACTTCTCCAGCATGGGCACTGTTGCGGCCGGCGGGATCAGGTAGAAAGGCAGGCACAGGGGCGGCTGGTGAGCGTGGGGGCCCAGGAAGCCGCCGGACGAGCCCATCACGTCGCTGCCAAACGGGCCCTCGTCCTCCGGCGACTCCAGCCTGCTCCTTTTGGCCGGCGGGTCCTCAGTCTCTTGCTTAATCGAGCTTATTCTCTCCTGGACAGCGTACTTGAGTTCGGTATCCTTTTTGAAATACTGCTGTTCGGATTTGGAGTCGCTTTTCTCCAGCTCCCCCCCATACCCGCTGTCCGTGTCCGTGTCGCTGCCGCTCTGCTCCCCGCTGGAGTGAGCGAATGTCCTCTGGATGACGGGCACGCAGTTCTTCCCGTGCCCCTCCGCCGCTTTGGTCAAGGAGACGGGCTTCTCCTTCAAGTCCACCATTTTAGGAGGGATGTCTCCGGCCTTGCGGCCGGCTCCGCCCTGGAGCACCTCGGAGGCCATTCGGTGCAGGTGGCCGGCCAGCTGTGAGGACTTCAGGTCCTTGCCGTTCTCGTGCTTGGCCAGGTATTGCAGCATCTCCTTGGCACACATCTGGAAACCGGATCGGAACATTTCCTGGCTGGAATCGAGGTTTCTTGACGACAGGTCACCTGAGGAAACGTTAACAGAGAGGAATTAAAAATTAACGGCGTGCTAAATAGCTCCATTACCATCTCCGAGGCGGGCTGGGGGCGATACTGAACTTCGGGTGACAGTACGGCCGCAGAGGTGAGCTCGATGGTCAAGCTGGATTTGGCGCACGCTCCCCCAGTTTCTACCCCAGCGCACGTTTGTTCTTGGCCATCCGCCTGCCCGCTTCCCCACAACAACTGTATTTATTTTTTTTTTTTGTTCTGTATTCACTG